TCTTTACCGGAATTCTTTAGCGATGAAGAAACGGAAAGTTCAGATGATCTAATTCAGGTTTGGAACTTTTGTAAAATGGATACTAGTAATCCTCCTCCACTACCTCCGTGATTTCCTTTCTAAGCGAATTCACTCCTATCACATTTATCTCCTATAAAGTGTCCTTTCAAGTTCTGTAGTTTTGTCAGAAAAAAGCCAAATTCAAGTAAAAATACCTTAATTTAGCCATAATTGAAAATTACCTTAAATTAATAAATGCAATACTTGTAACAGTTTTGACTGCTGATTTGAATTCATGTAATCGATTAGAATACAAAATTATTTATAAAAATATGCTTATTTTTTGTCACAATATAGCAGGAAAATGAAACGTCAAGTGGTACATAATAACAAAAATGGAGTCCATATACTAGATTATGAAATTGCTGGGGCTCAAGAATTAGACCTTGAAATGGAGACATTGCTCAGACAGCTCAATGACTTACAACTTAACATAAATCTACCAAATCCAAATGTTACTTTAGACTGTAAAATTTCATAAGGACCATACATTATTGATTTTTGATGAACTGCATAAAGTTTTGCAACATAGATCACTACATTTTTTCTAGACCAACTGGACTTTTCTTAAAAAATGATTATAACAATTGTGCTAAAATTTGCATCTCTCATCAGAATTTAAAAATCATTAAACACACTGAAATGCCATTTGATTTTCCCCCTCCGATTTTTTTTTTTTTTTTTTCAAATGGCTGAATGCTTGCTCCTCAAGCATGTGACAGAAATGGCCAAAATCATTGTTCATTTTGTCATAAAATAGCCAACAACATTACCCAGGGTTTACAACAAGGGGTAGACGATACTCCTGAATAAACCAAAAGGTTTGATCATATTTGCCTTAATATTATAGGTCACTCTTACAATTTACTAAGAAGTTTAGTTTTATTGACTGAATGACCATTTCAAGAGATGGAAAAAGATCATTCCATTGGAGGATATACATACAAACACCTTTGTAAAATTACCTTATGATGGCTGGATCATTTACGCATTTTATTCCACATCATTGTGGACCAGGATAGACAGTTTGAAGTTCACTTACTCATTTTTCCTCTTGGGAATTAAACATTCTTCACCATACCACTGTCTAACTAGCAGATTCATTGAAGAATTTTACCATCTATTTAAAATGGCCTTAACACTGGACAAATATATCCTATCATATTTTTCAATATTGACATGCTTTTTCATCCCACACCCCTCTGGTACGTCTTCAAAACAATTCAAGGCAAGCTTATTTTAAGCTGACTGCCAGCCAAATTCACTCTTCATTCACTTGCATCGAATGAATGCATACATATTTGTATGAAATGACATGGGTCTTCAGACCACTGCTACTTCTGTATGATGGATCTTTTAAGATATTCAGAACTTGCTTACATAGATTGATTTCGGAATGAAGAGACAGAAACCTACTGCTTCTGTATGTAAACTGAAAACTGCATTTCTTGCACAGGATTCTGGACCTGCTCCTTCCACCAAAAGATATTAATTTACTGCTCATATTCAGAAAGAACAATATGTTTTTCAAATTGTTTCAGGCCAAAGAAAGGCAGTAACAGTACTTGGTGGCTTGAAAACACAAAAAAATATCTTCTTATGAAAGATATCTCATGATGTAGAGATAATAGTCCATCAAAAACAAGCATAGTTTGCAAAAACTGAGAACTCATTTGCACCTTTCTTAAAATGGCATTTTATTAGTCTCTCAACTGTATGTAGTACAATGAAAATATATGCAAAATAATATTACATACAGTAACTCTTTTAAATATTAAAATGGTAAAACCAGAAGCTTTACATAAAAATAAGCACACATATGTTGGGTAATTTCTTGACACATTTCTTTATCCTTTAAATAGTAAAGATTTTGAGCAATAAATTTTAGCAATTATTTATGATAAATGTTATGATGATAACTTCTTGCAGTGAAAAAGGAATTCTTCCAGAATGTTTATATTTTAAAACTTTGAAAAAAATTTTAGAATATTTAATAAATATTTAAAGCGAGAAACAATTTAGAAATATCACACTATTTAGGAAATAAAAATACTTTAAAAAATTTTCATTACAATTAATCATTAGCTTTACTTTTCTTAATACCTTCATCAACGTTATTGAAAAAATTTCCACCAAGCATTCTTATTAAATACACTTTAAATTACAAATGTACCAGAACTACAGCAGGCAAAATAGGTGAATTACATTACCAAAATAGGAGTGCTAGCACTTACGTAAACTTATCACAAAATTTAGAACTAAATTCAGATTACTGAAGCTGAAACATACTTAACTTACAATACCTGAAAAACAGCACCTTCAAAAGTATATTACCTTACATTTACTTTCAGAGGACATGCATGACCTTGAACTTAAGTGTATGTTCTGCTGTAAAGTAATTTGAGCATCTGACATAACATAATAATTATGCAAAATATGTAATTATGTCCTGAACCACAATGGCTACAATATCTTACAATGTTATTTGATGTATCTCCTAATGAATATGCGGGTACATGAGACAATACCAAGTGACCTCTTCATAGAATGATGATGTCTCCATCGCCCATTGATTATAAACTGTTAATGAAATACACCAAAATAGTAACCTTATTGAAAAGCTCTTGCAAATTGCTGCTCTCTTGCTATCAAAAAGCTGGTTTTTGTCCATCATGAGAAGAGGTCTGTGTATGGTTGCCACATTAGAACAATTCATCAAAAAAGGGCTCTTTGTGTCATTTAAGGTTATGTTATTTGAACACAACCAAAGCACATGAAGGCTTTGTGCTGAAAGGGTAAGATGCCTTTGTGGAGGACTTTTTAGGGGATACTACCTCATATTCATATTACATATGAAGAAACCAACAGAAGCAGCCATACAGCCAGCTCATTCCCCTGAGTTCAACCCTAGGTCAAACTAAAATGGTCACCTGGATCAAACTCCAGGTCACTATTCAGCAGTTTAACAACTCACCCACTGGTGAAAGCCCCTTGGCACCATTTAAATAATGGAAGCTGTGACAATAAGTACTAATTATATTTATCATAAAAACAGTCAAAACATAAAATACTAGCATCAAGTACTCTGAATAAATAATAATTTAGTACAAGCAAAATTTTTATTTTTGATGTAAGCTTGTGAATTGCAAAAATACAGAGGAAGAAGATGAAGATCTATTAAACCTTTTAATGTTACATAAGTAGATATTTTTTAGAATGTTAATAATGTGCACTTTCAGTGAAATTTTAAATATATTTTGTTCAAAATAAATTTTTTAATTGCAATGATTATAATTAATTACATAATTTACTTGTGTGCTACACCAGCTTTGCTATTTTAAATATTTTTATATGTCACCTATTGCAGTAAAAGCTTAACTTGGGAAATGACGAATTTCAGATATGCAAAAATTTCAAACAATTCAGCATATAAAAAGAGTAATTCATGACAGAAAAACCAGATGAATGGAATAAAAAATTTCTAATCTAAAATTACAAATAGTTACTTTATTTGTTATTAACTGGAACATTAAATGCCTACATATACATTATGTCAAACTTTGAAAGAAAAAAGGGTATTCCAGACATGAAGGAAGTATGACCATATTTCGAAAAACATTCTGTAACCATATTAGGAAATTACATTGACCATGAAAACTGGTGGACATCTCACCAAAATTGCACCAGTTATATCAGGAGAAATTTGAAGATACAGATCACTTTTTATTTAGTTAATCAACATATACAAGTTATGGACATAATATATAAAAACTTAAATCACTTGTCATAATTTTTAATGTTGAAGAGCCAACACTCATCCATTTTCATATAAGTTGCACTTTTCTTGGTGGCAAGATCCCCAAAAATTTAATACTCTTACTGCATGCTGCTACGTGGAAGGCAAGTCAAAAATTTTTATCAGTTTTTCAAAATGCTACAGAAAAACAGATAACACCTGTTAATTCATATTGTATTTTACAAAAATTAAATCGACTTATCAAGAACTAATCCGGTTTATAAAAAGCCAAAGTGTTACATTGTATTTATAACATTAATGATGCTAACTTGCACTGTCTGGTGGTAGTTTTTATTTGATTCGAATCACAGTCCTATTTGTGCTTTATAACAGAGTTACATGTCACCTATTTGCTTTCATATTAAAAAAAAATTCTAAAATTTGAAAATATTCTGATTATTTGAGCTTTCCAGTAAGTTGTATACCAGATAGTCTGGCTTACACTGCAATTATAAATTTGATTTGTGGAAAAATACAATAACAAAATTTTTTAATGAAAATTTTATATCATTTTTTGTGTTATTACCCTAGAAATATTTTTCATTATTATATTTTCTCCAAAAATAAGATAACTTTAACAGAATTAATATTACCAAGGAAAAACCTTGATATCGCCTGCTAGATTTAAACTGCAGACATCTATCTGAAGCATTGTGCATTGTAAGTATGGTTATCAGTACTTGAAGCAAATGCAGGAAATGAAATAAAATGTTGCTTAACATTTTTAGTTTTTCACACTTATTTAGGAAGAATGCACACTAGGTGTCTGAAAAGGCATTCACTTTAGTACTTCTATAATTATGTAAAGCTTGAGAGAAATCAGTTAATCCTATGTCAAGTACTCCATTGCGAGTATTAATTTCCTTTTATTTATAAAATCATATTTGATATGCCTATCTATATCACTATCAGAGGCAAGAAAATAAATAACAATTTAAGAAGTATTAAGCATATCGTACTTAATTTAGCTGTCTTGCAAGGTAATCAATAATAAACGATTTAATTTTCTAAGTATTCCTCTTTTTTAATTTAAACAAAAACAGTACCACTAGTAAGACTGATTTATAATGGAACAAGTCAAATATGCAGGTTTTGATTACCTAATATAGTACACACGAACAAAATTTAAAGAAACAGTACTCACTGAATCAAACTTATTGACTTTAAAATGCCATGAACCTCCTTTCCGATTAGCTTCATCTTCCCACAATGGCCTTCGCTCCCCTCGCATAAGATGATAACTGTACTTTTTCTGAAGTTCTTGAACATCAGGAATGTTGTTATATACACTCCAAAAGGTCTACAAAATAAAACGTCATAAATAATAAATACTGAAAGACTTTTCTTAATTTCTATTCAAAGTACTAGAGCAAGAATTTTTAAATTTTTGTTTAAAAATGAAACTAGAAAGAATTTGCTTTGTGCAACAAGAAACATTTAACACAACATTACTTAAAAAGGCAAAGATTCAGTACTGACATTACATGCAACCAGGCTACATTATCCATTAAGCAAAATACGCACATTCTGTTATTGCATTACGGAAAGGGGCACCACAAAAAAGTCATTAGGAACTCGAGAAAAGGGAACACCACAAAAAATGTCAATTGTACTGGAAAATCGCATAGCTGAAACAAGACCAAGAGAATGGGCAAAAAAAACAGCCATAAAGTACGTGGGGGTCCCAAAATCTTTTAAGTGTTAAGGCCTCTAAATGTCTTAATCTGGCCCAGTACGCAACCTATGATATATCATTCTTAAGTATTAAACCTAGAAATTAAAACACGTTTATCTCTAATTCACCATACACTCCACTGATATTCTTTCACTTCTTCAAAAATTTTCCTTTAACAGTTGCAACTTATTCTTTTAAATTTAAACTTCTTCTCAATGTTCAATAATTGTGCAAGCACTACAACTACCTACAATTAACATCAAGGGAGAAAAAAAAAATTGACTTTTTTTTTTTTCATAGCTACAAATTTGTGATAATTCTGATATATTCTTGCTTAACTCAAAAATTTATAATCCACTTGCTAAAATGCGGTTTATTTTTTTACTTTCATTCTATAAGTTTTGTCAGCAACAACTATTTCTGAATACATAAATAGTAATCTGATAATTTAATCTAATAGTTCATTTGTTTGAGTTTTCAGTTTTCATTCATGAACCAAAAATGTCATTTAATTTTACCCTTTTTTCTGAAAAAACAGTGCATTTTATCCCGTAATTCAGTGTCTTAACAATACCAAAATGAGTCTCAACAAATATCATAATGAAACTGAAAAGTTTAAATATTTTAAGTTGGTTGATTGGTTGGTTGATTTTTAATGGCACAAAACCTTGAGAGTTATTATGCACCAGACAAATGGTGAATAGAATTCAAGATACACAAAAACACTGTATCAAATGAATTGATGAAATGAAACTGAAATGCTGATGAAGGCATGAAGAAATGACTTTGAGAAATGCTCTAGCAACAGGTTGAGCTGGATAAAAGGAAAATAACTTCAAATCACGTGGTAAAAAGTGATGTCTTTTAAAAATCTTATGAGGTTGATGTGGGGGTTTCTTCCAATGAGATCTATTAAATTAACATCCGTTGATTTAAAATGTTGAATATTTTAAGAAAAATTTCAAAAACCAGCAGTATTCTGACAAAGTATATTGCTATTCAATGTTTTGCACAATCAAACCAAATGATATTGTTGATCATTGATATTTTATTGATATGCCATACATATATTTTTATTAATACTTAGCATTGTGAATAGGCAACAATGTTTAATTTCCCAATGAGTGCTGTGTGAAACCAAAAATGACACTGTCTGCATCTCTGTATGAGTAATGTAATGCTTTTATTGTTAAAAAGCAGTTCTTTTCCTTCATTTTTAAGTATAATTGAACATATTTATATTTAGTTTTTTTGTCCAACAACATACTAAGTATAAAAACACTTTCTTCACAAATTTACAAGCAACACACTACTTACAATAACATTTTACTTTTTAATTTCTTCACTCAACAATCATGAAATAAGTCTACCTGATGTTTTTCAAGTTTTCTTACAAAATCTTAAGAATTAATGAAACTAAATTAAAATCAATATGATATTTAAATTTCAACACCCCCCCCCAAATGCAATAAATGTTTTCAAGTATAATAGTTCAATACTATCCTAGTTAGGGGATTGTACCAACTAACAAAGAATTTTTTCCTTTTAATAATCTATTTTAAATATATAATTTAGATAGTTGCATATTTCAAGAGTTCTTGTAATATGAAATTTGCATTAAGCATTTTTTTAATCAACAGCGGATGTTGTAATTTATTGAACCATTGTGTCGTTTTTTTAACTGGTGTATGATTTTCAGCACTTGTAATACCATTACACAAGCTCTCCCAGATACATTATATTCAAAATAAACAAAACTGAAATATAGAATTCTGAAATGAAGAAATTTTACCACCTTTAAAATTTTCTCAACTGGCAGAAATCCATTATCTGCACCATCATCAATATTATGAAAAACAGGAACAAAACAGAAATCAGAAACAGATTTTATTTACCACACCACTTTAGTGTGAGCTTCATAAGTATAAGCAAGGCTACACAAGCATTTTAAGAATTAACACCCATTTTATTAATTTACATGTGTTTTTTACTACATTTCAGAAATTCAGATTCTGCATTCTAATAATTATCAGTAAATTACTTTTGCTAATGCAAGTTATAAAAGTTGTTGCATCAAATAAAATATTCATCCTTATTATTTACAACGTAAAAATATAACATGCAGACTATGGAACTTTTATTGAATGTCAAACTAGTGTGAAATTCAAGAGAAATACGAGAAAAATGTAGGGTTCTTATGGGTCATTCCAAACTATAAGTTACAAAAGACACCAAAAATGCTGGTAACTTGCAAACAAATATGTGCCTCTCTGTGCAATGTCTTTTAACCTTCAGTGTGTAGCAAAATTATAATAAACTGTTTTCATTAAGATCTTAATAACACAGCCAATAATATATGAACTAAGCAAGACTACAGAGAAGATGAGAGACCAGGTGCAACAAACAATTTATCTTGCCTAATAGACTTTTTTCTAACCCCCACCTCATCCTTGTACAGATGGAGGACAAAATAATGAGAACACCTGTGAAAAAGTATGATGTATTTCACACCTGCAGTCCAGCTGTGCCACCTGCAACAGAAGTCTACCACCTAGTGAGCATGAAGAGGAAGGTATCAGTCTCTCAACAGCAGTTACCTGCCTTGAATGCTTCGATCAAACTGTCTGTGAGAAAGTTGAAATGTCAGACCTATAAGAGTTCCTAAGGGGAATAATAGTTGGAGCGTGTTTAAGTGGGGCATCGGTTACGGAAACAGCAAACCTTGTGAGGTGTGCAAGGAGTAGGGTATCAGCCGTTATGACAGCATATATGAAAGAGGGTAAGACGACGTCTTCAAAGCACAGCAATAGCCGAAAATCAAAGCTGGCTGATAGGGATAGACAGGCCTTAAAGCGCATAGTAGCCCGAAAGCACAACAAATTGTTATCTGAGATAAAATCCGAAATGAACAGTCATCTCTAGGACACCATTTCAACAAAAACTGTCAAAAGGGACCTTCATGCTGCGAACATTTATGACAGAGTAGCAATTCGTAAACCCTTCAAGACAACAACTAATGCTTTCAAGAGATGCCAATGGTGCAGAGATCACAAAGGCTGGCTCCCACAGCAGTGGCAACAAGTAATATGGTCAGATGAATCGTCATTCGCCCTATTTCAGACGATCGGACATGTTTATGTCTGGAGAACGCCTAAAGAAGCATTTCATCCCGACTGCCTCTTGCTGACTCTGAAGCACGGGGGTGGTGCCATTATGGTATGGGGGTGAGATATCTTGGCCCGGTCTTGGGCCACTTGTTATTCTCCATAGGAGGATCACATCCAATCACTATCTAAGCATTCTAGGGGATCACGTCCATCCTTTTGTCCAGACTGTATTCCCTGGGTAGCGACTGCTTTTTCAAATCGACAACGCGCCTATCCACACTGCTAGGTGTATTCAAGAATGGTTCGAAGAGCATGACGATGCAATTGAACATCTCGTTTGGCCCCCTCAGTCTCCAGACTTGAATATTATTGAACATTTATGGGCATATTTGGAGTCCAAACTTCATTCCCGGTTTCCCCCTCCATTTGGACTTTCAGAATTAGAGACCACTCTGCAGGAGAAATGGCTTAATGTTCCTTTAAATATTGTCCATGACCTTTATGTATCTATCACACGTTGCATTCAATCTGTACTTCAGTCAAAGGGTGGTACAACCCCCTATTAATAAAGATTTTCCATTATTTCACAGGTGTTCGTATTATTTTGTCCTCCACCTGTACGTTAAAACTATATGAAAAGTGAGAGTAGCTAAGCATTATCTGTTTAAAAAGTGGAAAAAAGTATGCCCCCACTATTGTCATTGTTACTCCACAATAACTAATTCTGAGATCACAGCCAGAGTTAATTTAGTGCCTTCTATAGCTCTCACTTCTGGATACTCCACATATCAAATTTAGTCCAAGTTTTTAGAAAATAAGAACATAAATAAAATCGATTCATGCAATTAAATAGGATCACAGATTACCATCCACTATTTCAGATGTTTACATTCTATTACAAAGAAAGCAATATGACTATCAATTATGTTCAATATATTTATGCTCTCAGATACATTGATCATTTCGAATGAATACTCATCACGAAAAGTTTAACTGTATGCCCATATTATTGAAAATTATATGCACCCACTGATGAATCATGGTAGTTTATATATAAGATTATTTTCAACTTAAAATGCCTGTCTAAAGATCATGTCGGTCTAATATGCACAATGTGACATTTAAAAAGATATATTAAATTAGTTTGATTTATTCAATGACTTATAAGTTAACACATTTGTTTTCCCACAAAGCTACATATTTAAACTATTTTAATTGCATTTTTTAAAAATGGTTTGTATTATATTAAGCTCAAATATGAAGGTCATTTAGTATACAAAAGTTCTCTTCCCCCTTGTCCATTGAATAACAACTGTAAAAAAAAAAAATCTGGGGTGTACCTAACGAAATCCTTTGGCCTATTAAATATGGTGTCATCATACAAATGATTTTACCTATAATCAAGCCCATACATTTACTCGATTAATGTATTAGAAAATTAATATCAAACATCGTGTATCTTGAAACTAACTATCAATAATCGCATATATGATTACCTTTTTGTTTTAAATGCTTCAGAACAGCAAAAAAAAAAAATTAAATTTCATGGCTTATATTAAATTTACAAACTATGATTATTTACCTGAACTGTATCGACAGTATAGACTTTTTGAAGGCTAGCTTCATATTCAGCTGCAGAAGCTCCTCTTTCAGTCCTAATTAAATTTAAACAAAAATTAGTCAAAACACCTGAAAATATTTATTTGTTGTTAATGAAAAGTACTACACTAGTACAATAACTATTAAAAATGCTGGTTATAATTTAATTGGAAAGCATTAAATAAAATTCACAGCCAAAAATATAACCTTGATTTTTTCTTTTTAACTTATATTTATTATATGGATTATACAGGAAAACAAAATTCCAACTGTTATTGAGACAAGAGTTATAAAACAAGAGAATAAATAAACGATTCATTTAAAAAATTCCTGAAACATTTAAACTGTGTTTCATTACATAATAGATTTCAAAGTAAATAAAAAACACAATAATTCTAAAGCTATATTAGACCAAATAGAAATGTACTGAACTAAGATTAGGGTAACAGCTGTTCAGGGTTGGCTTGTTCAATCCTGGATTCCTAATTACATCCAGGGCTGCATTACAAATAGTAAAAAAAAAAAAAAAAAAAAAAAATCCAGGATTTAAAAAAAAAAAGAAGTTATAATTTACAGAAGAAAGGAGGAAAAAGTGTGAAACTTGTGTAATGCAGATATTTTATGATAAGAATTGGGTAATTTTTTAGATCTCAGTGGCTAATTTCATTAACATAACTTCACATCATCTATACAGTGAGCATAAAGTCTTCCCCTCATTAAAAATATTTTACAGAAAACAACCACGTGATAGAAATGTGAATTTTTACCATTGTGTGTCTTAATCATATTTTTCTTTTCCATAATGCAGTAGATAACATTACAATATTGGAAGCAAGGATAAGTAACAAAATGCTACCTATGAAAGAAAAAGCTAATTCTGTGGTAAAAAAAACTAAATCACCCATCAAGAATGATTAAGAATTTTCCAGGGATGCAATCCACCAGATGTTAATAGCATCAGGAACTGGTATGGGAAAATGCTTTAAAGAAGCTCATAGCACTGGTTGACAGCATTTGTGAATTGATGAATAAAAAGACAAGAGTCTTTGCCACACCAGTATGTGACACTGATAATTTGAAAGCTAGAAAAACAGATACTGTGCCAAGTGGTACAAAACAAATGTAGAAAAACCTGCAATGAGAAATAAAATACTAACTTTCACATTTCGCAAACTACAAAAGGGAAATGCTGAAATTTACTAATGTAGCAATACTCATTAAAAAAAAAATCAATTACTGCAGTAACCATTTCTAAAAAACAATTTTTGTCTTGTAATAATTTTTATGAAATTAAATTTTTATAATCAGATAAAGATTCTATGCTCTCTCTATATATCCTAACAACAAATCACTTAGAGCTGGAGCCTCAGTATTTCTCAATTCTGACAGAAGTGCATCCCAAATAATAAAAGCACCCGCATAAACATAAGCTTTCGTACTTTGCTCGGCAACTGAGTTGCAATGCGTTATCAATGGAACATTTTTTAGCAGTTAATAAAATTGATACTGGTACTGGATTCTGAATGTATGCCTCATTTTTCCTGCAAACAGAAAAATACTTGGGAAAACTTAGGAAGCTAAGAGGGTAAAGGAAACCAAGAGAAAATGTGATCCACTCAGAAAAAGGTATTTTTACAGGCTGCAATCATCTGATCAAGAACAAATGGTTAGAAGCCAAAATAAAGATAGTTTTATTTTATCCCAAAGAATGCTGTTTAAAATGCTTAGCTTATGTTTCATATTTTATTTTAGGGCCCACCAGCAGCCAAGCGATAAAATCGCTGAACACTGGTAGTTCGGTCTGAGGTTCGAATCCCACGAATGGGCTGGCTGCATGGGTGTGTGTAACGTGTATACGAGCCAGTTTCCCTTAGAAAGTCCTCCACGAAGGCATCCCTCCCCTTAGGCAGATAGCCCTAGTGTGATTTGCCGTATTCTCAATACACCTCAAATACACATTTTATTTTATAGTTACTTATTTATCATTTATTTATCATTACTTTTATTGCTTTAGATTTTATCTAATTTTAATAATTTTTTATTATCTTATTTACTTTTGTTCATTGTACCAGATGGCCTTCTAAAAAGTTCCAGCACTTCTAATTTTAGAAAGTAATCCTTCTAATTAGAACTGCTGAAGAACGTGATTTACTTTGCATTATTCTGAGTATTTTTGTTGATCAAGTTCTTTGCCTTTACTCCTTTATAGCAACTTTTTGTCACATTAACTTAAAAACCTTACAGATTTTTTATCACTGAAATTAATTTTCAATAAAGAATCCCAGATCAGTTTTCTTAAAATATGGTAACACTTACTATAATAATCACTTAAACCATTGTAATAATTAAAGAAAAAGTTATGTAAATAAAGTCCTAAAATATGATACTTGTCTTCATAACAGAAATAGTTACATTTTTAACATTTAAATATATTACAGTAAAAAATATAGTTTATAATGTGCTGATGCGTTTAAAATTAAAAAGATGCATGATAATTCAAAACTAGTGCACAACAAGCAGATAGTTAATTCCAACTGTTATCACCTTCTTCAATGACTGTAATGCCAATTTGTTTGTGATTAGAATTAAATTATGTAATTTCTTCTAAGCTACTTGCGCTTTACATGTATTTAGCTGACAATGATTTGCAATTTTCTGCCTCTTATTTTACATATTACTGCACACCTTCATCACATTCATTAATAACTTATGATACAAATTATATATAAAGAATACAATTACTATCAGTGAATTATCTCCTCCTCTAAATTCTGAAAATACAAATTACAGTAAAGATATAAATTATAGGAACAAAAAATCAATAAATAGTGAAAACTCAACATTTGACATTAAGCTCAATAAAAACAGAAGTTCAATCCATTTTAAAGAACAAAAATTATGTTGTGCAAGCCCCCTAACTATAATGAAATGCAAAGAATATCAGATGGAGGAAAAAAACAAATACTAAAACCTATTGAAGTGAAAAATATTCATAGGGTATGGTGAGCAAAAACACTTTGATAGTGATGAATAGACTTAAACTGTTAACTAAAATTAATGATTTGGGTGAATTCCTCCTCCTTCCAATGGCCAGCTCTAACTGCTTATATGCATTTGCCACTACTAAGACTGGAAGCAGTGGTCACTTCATTATGGAGGCACCTAATAGGTAGGCCACCATAGCCTCCTCTGAGAAGCAGAAAAATTGCATCCATGCCTTTTCTGGGATTCGAACCTCGGCCTTTGGTACAGCAGTTAGAGACACATTCTAGTGCGGGAAGCATTTGGATGAATGCAAAAAGTTTAATTTTCAATCCCTGCTCTACAACTATAAAGTGCAAGATACAACATGTAACTTGTCATGTTGAGCAAGTTAATCATAAAAGAATGTTTCATATTTCCCATGAATGAAATTTTAATATGTTAATAAGTATTATGTGCAGTATTTATTGCTTCTATGGGGTGAGGATCAAGAAGTAAACTATGAATTTGTTACATCTCTGACAAAGGATAAGAAGCATCGAAGACCATACAACAGACCACGATTCTAAGTATCAAATTGATTACATTCAACAAACTAATAAGTGCTCAAAAATTGGAATAACATAAAAATTACAAATGAGAGAAAAAGGATCACCAACAAGTTTAACTGCCATTCTTATACATCTGGCTAGAAAAATTAAAGCAGTTAAAAATTGCAAAATAGAGTAAGTGGTTTAACGAGCAAAACACGCTTCACATATTACTCATGACATGTCAGTAAAACTGCCATGTTTTCTTAGCAAAATAATTGTACATAACTAGTAGTAAAAGATTATAAAATTTTCTGAATTGAACTTAATAGGATCTTTCCATCAGGGTTACGATAATCTTAAGTAAATTACATTTCTTTGTGTTCATGTTTATTATTGGAAGGTATTACTATTTCAGTATTTTACAATACTTTGTGTTACATTACAGCATATAAATATATTTAATTATGCATTGCTTGCATTCAATATATACTTCAGATGCAAATCATTAGTAGCTATGGCATACATGACACTAGCAGCAAATAACGTAAAAAGTGATACAAAATATGAAACCTCAACGTCGGCCGAGTGGTAAAATTGCTGAACAGTAGTAGTTTCAACCAGGGTTCAATTCCTAGTCAATGGGCTGGCTTCACAGGCATTTTGGTGATTTTTGCCATGTGTAAAGTGCACAGGAGTTGGCTTCCCTCAGAAAGTCCACCATGAAGGCATCCCTCCTCCTTTGGCAGATAGCCCCAGTGTGCTTTGCCATAATCAATTAAACCAAAATGCAAAATATCAATTTGGCAACATTTATAAGCCTAAATACCAAATTTCATGTTGGCTTCAAGCAAATGTTCAGAAATATTTTTCTAACATTATTGACGGTAAAACTATCTAGTGACTACTGATTGAAGAGAAATTAAAAGTTAAAAAATTGATCTACATATAATCTGCCTTGAGAAAAAAAGAAAGTCTAAAGACATTTGTCTCCAAGTAAAGAAGAAATTAAAAAGTTAAAACCTGAAAGCTTCAAAAACAGCAATAAAATGAAAAATCTACCTTCAGAATCTCAGTTTAACCAAAATGTTTCATTGTCTAATCAAAACCGTTTGATAGCACTGTAAATAAAATCTCCATATAATTTTGAAATAAAAATTTCTATCCTAGGTTCCATTTAGTTAGTTACTACAAGGAACACCAATGATAATTTAATTTTATTTAAGTATCTGCAAAACATATGCAGTCTAGTATGTAACTTTTTTCTTTACTGTTTTTTAACCAACTATAAAATATAAGCAAAACTTAATAAAGTTCATATAAGATGACATATTTCCAACCAATATATAAAAAATAAAACCCAACCAATTCAAATAAACTTTAAAAATGTCCCAAAAATTAGATGAGGATTTGGATTTATTAGTTTATGGCAAAGCACACTACTGTAATATACTAAAAAAAAAAAAGGAATATCTTCATTAAAGTCTTTCTTGAGGAACCTGGCTCATATTCATATTACACAAGCAGAAAATTATGAAAATGCC